AATATGTTGTGAATTTAGTAATTTTTATTTCGATTTATAATACATAATCCTCACAGGTTACCATTAGTGCTTGACACCATCACTAATTATACTGGATGACAGTTGAGTCATATTGTTAATTGAGTTGATTTAGATAGATCGATTTGGGCATCCAGATAGTATCCCAGCCGACATGCGAATTGAATGATAACTATTTTTGTGTGGCACATATATATATTTTGGTGCCATATTGTATTAATGTTTATGTATCTAAATAAATAATTATGAGATATGTGGGTCACTGAATTCGAAATTAGCCGTTCAGGACTAATAAAATTATTGAGGGATCTGGACGACTTAAATTCGATTCCTGGTAAGGCAAAGGGTGGGCAATACCAAGGTATTATAAATTGGGATCAAAATATGTCTAATACTGCCTAGTTTTCAATCGCCACCCAGCTGAAATTAGTCTTTGATGGAACCCTATTTGGATTTAAATGAGTGAACTAAAGGTAGTGGTCAAGTTTATTGGTTATGTGTTAATACAGAACTAAACATTTAAATGTAATTATGTGACTACGAATGCCATACAAATTTCTAAGCTTAATACGGGCTATTTTCACTCGTATCAGTTCATAAAACACACTTTTGTAGGTCTCTTCAAGAAACAGTGTTTTAAAGTTTCTTATACAGTCCTTGTTATTAAATCTAAGAAATGAGCAAAGTTTTGAGTCTAAAACGATTGGTCCTTTTGACAAATTCAAATAATATAACTATCAATCTTGTCTTCTCATTTCATTATCTAAATTTTTATGTTTGATTAACAATACTAGTCGTTACAGTTGTTTTATTTTGAAATCAAACTGTTACAGTTAACTTAAATCAAAATTATCATAATTTAATTTGAACTCATAGTGTATGATATCATTTTGACAAGGATATCCTTGAAAGCGTAGTTGAATATGCGTCACTTTTAAGACAACATACTTTTTCAAAATCCAAAATAAAGACATGTTACACAATGTGTTAGAGACATGGATTTCATTCATTGATTAAAAACAATATGAAACTATCAAGTTCATATTAATAAATATAGTCAGTCAGTCAGTCAGCTACAACGTAGGACCAGGCACATATATGCATCGGTCGAAGTTGCCATACCTCATTAACACAACAAGATGGACACCGGATTCATAAAAGTAGTTAATTCAGAGGTGGTAATATTTAAAAGAAAGATTGCAATAAGGATATAGTACAGGAAGAAAGATTTAGTTCGTAGAAAGAAAGATATGAAGCGATTTTAATCTCTTAGTTTAAGGGAAGACAGAGAGTGTATACACCGACGCCATTGTGATCGATTCTGAGCCATGTCACACAGTCTCCAACCATTGGTTACGATAGTCACGCGGACCCCAACCAAGTAGTCTGCATCTACCAACATGGCTCAGACTACAAGTTGGCGACTTCAAGCACTGATGCCACGTTTTGGTTTGGCCACCCCTAATTCTCTTCCAACCATCCCCTACCCCGGTTAGCATTGCACGTCGTGGTAATCGGTGTTCAGGCATACGTAACACGTGGCTCAATCATCTCAGTCGATGAAGATTCACAACTTCATCAACTGATTTACCATCATTCCCTAATACCCTGCGTCTAACCTCACTATTACTTGCCCGGTGATCCTAGCAGACGCCAGCAATATTTCTGAGGCATCTGTGGTCAAATACTAGTAGCTTACGAATGTCTTCTACTCTTAATGGCCATGTTTCGCTGCCATAAAGTAGAACAGAACGGACTGCCTCGCAGTATACTCGTCCTTTTATTGATAGACGGATATCTCGCCTTCGCTAAAGGTGACGTAAGTTGGCAAAAGCCAAACGAGCTTTTCGAATCCGTGCTGAGATTTCGTTTGATACCAGCCCATTAGGGCTGATCAGACTTCCAAGATAAGTGAAGTTGTCAACGCGTTCCACTACTTCACTGCCTATTCTTAGTTCAGGTGTTGACGCAGGCCAGTCCTGAAGCAACAACTTGCATTTCAAGGGAGAGAAGCGCATTCCAAACATTCTGGCGTTGTTGCTTAGTGCTACCAAAAGACTCTGCATTTTATCAGCGACTTCACCAAACAGGACTATGTCATCTGTGTATTCTAAGTCGATAAGTGGACCTCCTGGAAGGATGTCAATACCCGAGTATCCAGTCTATGAGAATGTTAATGAATATAAGATTTCCTAGATCACAAATTCGTTAACGTATTTTGCTTGATACGAAGAAGTATAGCTTATAAATAAATGTAAAAAACGGTATTCATATGTGATAACATAAGGTACTTTTAGTTTTTAAGATAATTTAATTGAGCTATACTGAAAGCTACAATGAGTAAACAATGATTTTTATAGGCGTACGATAATTTAGACGTTTATATATATTGAAATGATCTAGTATGTACAGAATGAATGTTTAAAGTTGTACAAATGAACATTTTATCACTTTTGTTGGAGTGTAGTTATCATGTTAACAACTTTTTGTTAAGATCTATTGTGTATTGTTACATAATTCTATTTTATTTGTGAAGCTACAGTCTAACAGTCATTTATAATTTTATATTATGTAAAACTGTCAAATTCCTTGTAGTTTATATTAATGAGTGAAAAAGTTAATTGTTATTCGATTACTTAAGACATTCCATTCCATTAATTAATTGATATTCATTAATATTAGTTATTTTCCTTATTTTCTGATCACATTTATTTTAGATATTATTGTTATTATTAACTTTGTTCAGTGTTATATTTTTGGTACAATATAGAATTCTAAGCACAAACTATCTCAACAAGTTTCTGTTTCTTACTTCTTGGTCAATGCTGACAATAAATATTGAGTAGTTGCCAATTAGAAATTAGCATTCCAGTCATTCGACATCTAAATAATATTGATTTTTTTCGCTGCATATTGCCAGAAACTACAATATCTCTTATTGGGCTTTTTGTAACTTGTACAACGAAAGGTTGTACACTTTTCAGAAATGCACCTGAATAGATTATACGATTAATAGCTATAATAATGTATTAAAACAAACAAGAAAACAGATAACTTGTTGAAATATCTAGATAGTAAGAGAAGATAGCTTAGCAAACTGCCATAGATATCATTTTAGCATTTCACATACTAATTTATTATTATTATGAAAAATAGTTGTGTATTTTACAGTGAAAACGAATGTGTAAAATATAAACACAATCAATCGACTATTGAAAAAAGTTTTGAGTAAATATCCTTTCATTAAAAAAGAGGAATTGCTGTTTTATTCAGTGGAACATAGTGAATACGTTTGTTTGTATTACTGAAATAAAAACTGAAAATTTTCAAGGAAAAAAATATTTTGTAAATTTTGAATTGATAAAGTGAACAATTAGGAGGTAGAATAAAAGAAAAGTCATGGTAACTTTTTGCATTTGTACACTGTGAATGAAACAATTATTGATCTCCTGAGTTCGAATCTTGTGAGGTGGGATCATGGATGTGCACTGTTAAAGAGGCCCACAATAGGACGAAATGATTGTCCAGTACTTCCTAATTTTACATGATGGTATAGGTTCAAATGACACATGATCTCAACTATTAGAATGATCGATCTATCAAAAGTTGTATATATGTTTTTTAATGGGAATACATAAAAAACATTAATATATAAGTTCATGTTACAGGTAAATCGCGTTTGCGTAAATCTCAATCTTTATAGCTTTTGAAAAATCTTTTTATACAAACAACTTATAAATGTTAGTGATTACTAGTATTGGGGTTGTGGATATTACTAAGTTTTTGATTGAGATCATGAACCGATTGATGTTAGACCAACTTTGGAAACCTGGAAGCACTGGACGACCGTTTCGTCCTATTGTGGGACTCCTCAGCAGTGGATTAGTTGAGGTTAGACATTTACATCATTGGATGCCGGCTCAGTGGTCCAGTAGGTTAAGCGTTTGCGCGTTAGACCGAAAGCTCTTGGTTCGAATCCCTCGAGCGGGATCGTTAATGACTACGTTGATATAAATTAGTTTTCAAACATTTTTAAAAATATGTTATTCAATGAATTTTTTAAGTTGTTCCTAACATTTTAAAACATGTACTTGTTAACATCACACTTCCTAATAAATTGATGGCGCCTTTTCGTCTTTTAGTCTCACCTGTATTCATCCTACCTGAAAACGGTTATCATCATTATACTTTATTTATTTTTGTATTTCATCTAAAATAAATTTATACTACATTAGTTATTCATTCTAATCTTGACAAATATTCGTAGAAAGTATTATTATTTCATATATAATTCAAGCTTTATTTTTGTTTGCGTTTCACAACTCTGAAAGAATTTACCATGAAAATACAACTCATTAATTCAAAGAAGCATTTGAGTAATACTTTGATTGATGAATTAAATTCTTTGTAAATATATAATTAAATGGTTTATTGGTTAAACGCTCGCGCGTGAGGCGGGATCATGAATGCGCACTACTGAGGAGTCCCACAATAGGATGAAACAGCCATCTAATGCTTCCAGATTTTTGATGGTAACCTAGCTTCAATTAACTTATGATCTCAAATACTGAAAATGAAAAGAATCAATCATTCATTTTAAAATTAAATGATCGTTTTAAATATGTTAATAATATTAGTAGTACTATTCAGTAAATATAAAATAGTCATAGATAAACTAATTATTCTAAACAGGCATTAGTAATACGAACAGATTCAAAATTATACAGACATGTATTTTATTAACAGTAACTTATAATTCTATCAATTGTTGCATCAATTTCTAAAATTTCTCTTAGTGGTTAATTGTATTTTTCTAGGGACAGGTACAAAATCTATATAACCCTATGGAAATTATGCGTGTTTATCACCTATATTGTATATATGTATCTATGTAACTACTTGTTAAATTATATAAATATATAAGTTGACATATAGGTTTTTGTATAAATGTACTTGTGCAGGTTCATGTTTGTATACATATCTATATCTATATATATATGCATATATATATGAGTGTATCTATGCTTCTGTTGTTTGTCTACAATGGGAAAATATTGAGACAGAGCACAGTCATGATATTCATTGATTAGATTATTACAATTGTGAATAAATAGAACCAAATTGTATGGTTTTATCATTCAGACAAATAAATATATATTGAATAAAAAAAAATAAACAATTATAACATTGAATAGCATTAATCATAAATAGAATGAATACAATATTTGATTAAGATAATGTTTTGATCTATGACAACTTCTAAATGTATATTTTATCATTAGGCAACTACTTCAATTATTATTATTATTATTAACTAACTAATTAATTAATTAATTAAAAAATAGCATAACTACTGTATTTTTTTCCTACAAAAGAAGATACAACCATCAAATCTATTTTTATATTGATTAATGTGTCTTATTATGCTTATCAAATAAACAAACAATCAGTTTAAATGAAACATCCCTATTCATTGAAAAAAATGAATAATAATTATTACTATTACTATTACTATTATTATTGTTATTGGAATTATTGAATAAATTTTTAAAAAAAACATTATTAGTGAAGTCAAATTGCGTTAATAAAACAAGGTGAGAACAAAAAGTAAACAAAAAAACAAACAAACAATCATTCTCTTGAATAAGTCAAGAAAGAAAACGAAACTTCAGTTCTCTTGAAGGTGAAAACTTTGGAAATATATACATATATAAATTAATAGTTATAATATAAGGATTCATAGTTGTTTACATTATCTTATTGATATCAAGCAATAATAATAATAATAATAATAATAAAACAAGACGTGATCCTATGAAAATGACAAATATAAATAAATCTAATAATCAAGATGGTGATGCATTAGATACTGTTATTATACCATTAAATTCTTCATCAACATCAACAAAAGTTCATCAAACTAAAAATGGAATTTCTAAATTATTATTTATTTTATTAATTCTATTACTTATTTTAATATTATTATTTTTAATTATTGCATCAATTATTGCAATCTATTATTCAAATGCATATTATAAATGTCAAACAATTAAAGGTTAGTGTAATGATTAATTTATATTAGTTTCAATGATCAATATTTAGGTGGTTTTTTTGTTTTAAAAAAAATTAATTTCATTCATTTTATTTTTCTCTTTTTTCTGTTGATTAATCAATGTAAAACTGTTAAACATTAAAGAGGAAGTATGTATTTGTGAAAATTCAGCGAAAAAATTTGAAGTAAATCCAATGTCCTTGAAAAAACTTGAACCAGATTGTTGGGCAAAACGTTGGATTTACTTCAAATTCTATCGCTGAGATTTTACAAATACACTCTTCCTCTTTAATATCTCACATTAACTCGGCGCCCAAATATTGTGAAATTATTCGATCAAATTTAGACGAAACTTCTTATTTATTATTCTGTAAAACTGTTAATATTGGTGAATTCTCATTTATTTAAAGTTGCTGAGTTATAATTATCACTTCATATACAAATGGAGTATGATTTCATTAAATAGAACATTTTTAGTTTTTTATTTAAGGCACTAAATTCATTGAATGAATTATCATTCAACGTTTTTGAACAGTCATGGTAGACAGTAAATAATATAATGTGAAATTAGTAGGTCGTTTGGGATTATATATACTTATCAGTAGTAAAATTGAAGAATATCAAAGTCCTCATTTATTAATAAAATCACTAAAACATACCAAGATAAAGAATTAAACAAGAAATGTATGGTGATGTCAATATGTGTTCTTTTATTTATTCAACTGGTGATTATTTTAAACTCTATTGATCAGTTTCAATGATACATGTTTTCTTCAATCTTACCATTACTAGATTTCTGATGATAAATTGTAAGTTTTCAAGTTTCATGTCGTATATATAGTTTGTTGTATATAGAGTTTCAACGATATCAGCTAATTCATGCATACCTGTAAACTAAAATCAACACTAGCACAATGATCTTTATTTAATAGGCATGAATATAAAATGAAAGTTACACTAGTTTCTTCTACTATTTTCTAACGTGCACTAAGTAAATAATTTAATTCTAATAATAGACTTTTGGCGTACAACCAGTAGAAATATTCTCCAAGCTTCAATGTATAATCAAACATACTCCTCAGTTCATGATTTAAAATTGTAAACATTGAACAATTTCCATAAACCCAATATACTAATGATAATGATAATGTGCTTTCAAGATGTACTCCTCAAGTTCCAGTGAGAAGCTATTACGAGTGGAGTTCGACCCGTGTTGCGTGTGCAATTGTTATAGTCCATAGACGATAGATAGAGTTCACTCATTACTAAGGATTGGTTGGAGGTAGAAATGAATATCTTTGGTTACCAACCTGTTGGTATATATTCACGCTCGAAAATCAAGGTCTCAGATTCGAATCCCGCGGAGGCGTTTTGGATATATACTGCTGAGCGATCCCATACTAGGACAAAATGACTGTTCTGTCCTTTCATATTTTTAATGATGCTCTAGTTAAGATCACTTTGTGATTTAAACGTGAAAGTTGTATAATCTTCAAATATTCTATCTACTTTACTATATAAATACACACCATTAAAAATAACTTGAATGGTTATTGCTCTCCTTGTCTCAAATAACTGTTTTTTAAAAGCACTGATCTCAAACGACGACAAACTGACGTTTAACAATCATCCAATCTGTAGGCATCATAAACGTTCGCATTTTGCATCTTAAAATTTAGGTATTACTATCATGCGACAACACTGAATTTTTTTCAGATAATAAACTTGAGTTCGTCCCAACAGTTTCTCGGTGTTAACTAGTAAAAAGTTTTGCCATTTGGTTTCTCAAGGAAACACGTATCAACTTAACAATGTAGTGAGAGTTTATCAGAATGATTCATTATTTCGAATATTCTTTTATACTAAACCAAAGTACTACTGGGTTAAAAGCTTTATGTAAATTTCACAACACAGTAAGATCGACATGTGTATATTATTTTGGTTACATAGTAAGCTTACTTACTTCCTAACGCCTATTCTCTCTTGTGGAGAAGTATAGGCCGCTCACCAGTATTCTCCAACCAACTCTGTCCTGGACAATCCTTTCCAGTTGCTATTCATCCTTTTCATGTCTACTTCCAATTCTGGACTTAATGTGTTCTTTGACCTTCCTCTTTTCCAATTCTCTTCAGGACTCCAAGTTAGTGCTTGCCTCATTATCCACTTCCAACCTTCTTTCCTAATTTTCTCTTCAGATGGAAACCGATTTGTTCTCTTCCATACTAGGTTGTTGCTGATGGTGTCTGATCAACGAACATTGAGTATTATGTATAGAAAAAATTGTTTATAAATACTTGTACATAGTAAGCTTACTTTAATGTACTTCATTAGCTGCAACTGTACTTACCTTTAGTATTATTCTTCAGAACAATTTACAAATTTTTTGAATCTTAATGATGATAAAAAGTTTGCAAACACTTAATGAAATACCTCTCAATCAAGTGGGAAATATAGGTACATTGTACAAACTGAATGAATGAAATATGTTCACGTTTTTAAAGAACCATTGCTCTCTTCTTTTATTATTATACAAACTTATTTACAAACATTGATTTGATTTGGTTTGATTATTTTCAAAATAAGACAGCGGGAAACATTGCTGAAAATTTAAACCTACCAATCTACTTTTAACCAGTTTTCTTTGAAATGTTAACTTACATATATTACATCATATCTCTATGGAATTTTAACTATTTTATCATTAATAAACTGAAATAGGAAAATATTTTTGTTTTAATCAACTGTATCGAGAAAATACTTTAAAAAATGTCCAAGTACTTCCCTCTTATCAGATTAAGATAATCTAATTACACTGATGTATTGTCTGATATAAAATAATAATAACAGTGAAATAGTTTAGTATTAGTGAAATTAATTATTTGAATAATTTTTTTCTGGTTAGAGTTTTATAGCGTGTTAATTTTCTACGGAATGGGGTCGGTAACCCCATACCCAACACTCCTCCTTTATCCGGGACCTGCAGTAGCCCCAAAGGGGCTCCAGGTGGAGTTGTTATTTATTTATTTGTATGGTATATTCTTGTGAATATTTCATTTTAACCTATACCTAAAAAGGATCAATCTTCAAAGATAGAAAAGTAAAACCCATCAATATTTTGTTCATTTCAGGTTTTATTATGGTTTTCAAGAGTAATAGTAAAGATGACAGATTAATATTCTGATTAATTTATAAAGTCGTGGGAACTAAAATTTATGTCTCATTTGTTGAAAAGTGTTTAAACGCTTATTTTTATTGTACATAATAGGTCATTGTATTTTAATATAACAAACAGTTTATAAACTATGTAGGCGTACAAAAGTTTACTTTAGTAAACATTTACTAGTCATTCACTTCTGAAATGATTATTCATTAGAGTGAATCGAATACTTTTGACATATTAATAATAGTAATATCTCATCACTGTCAAACTAAATACACATAACTACTGTAGTGTATTAACGTTATTTGTATAATTATAGAAAGTTCAACATGAAATGACTTTTGATTATTGAGAAGAAATTTAATGAATACAATTGGTTGTATTTCTAATAACAAAATGTTGTTCATAAAAGTCATAATTTTCTATCATAGTTGAAAGGTTTCTTTAAATCAAAATGAACTAAATCTTTAATGATCCGAATGGATGTAAAACGTTTTAGGTTACTTCTCTGGAATGATAAGGGGGGGGGGGAGAAAGAAAGGAAAGAGGATATGAATTTCAAGTAGACTAAACAAATTACTTAAGGTTCTACTAATCAAGTGCTTCGTGAGACATTTATGTGTTATTGTGTATTATTAAATTGAGCTGAATTTATATTAAGCAGATGTGAATAAGTCACTTCAAAGGATGGATTGCATAATTCATTAGTCTGATTTGATTTTTCTGAAGTCTGATCTGTTCAGTATTTTCAAACATGAAGGTGAACATATTTTCCAAAATTAGACCATCATTATATTATAACAGGTTCTCCTCAACTGGTTTGTACGAATTTGTTGTTTTTGTGTTATTTACCAGAATGTTTAAAGGTGTTGAAACTGAAATGTCAGAAGTGTTTATGGGTCTTGCTCGTTTACTAATCTGAAGTATAATTGGTTTAGTTTGTTAGTTAAAAAAAAACTAGTGATTCTTAATTTCAAATCATTCATAGTGAGTGAAAAAATGCAAATGTGTTTTCCTATTGTTTTATCCATAATTTACACTAAGAATCATTACATCGTAATATTTAACGTTCAATTATTATGAACTCTTATGTAATCCAATTGAATATTTGATTATTGTACATAATCTGTATAGGATTGTGAAGATTGTTAAATTTAGATTAATATCATGAATGGATCAATGCTAGATCACTATCGAAAACCTGTAAGCACTGGATCGCCGTCTCGTCCTAATATGGGACTACTCAGCGGTGAGCATTCACGATCCCACCCTCGGGATTCGAACCCAGGACCTTAGGCCTTACACGTGAATGCCCAACCATATTGTACATAATTCAATGTATTTAACGCTGTTAAGGCATATAAGCTCATGGTAAAATGGTGAAGATTTGTAACTCATATGAATGCATTTGGGAATATCATAACTTTTGAAGAGAATAGCGACATAGCTTCCCACGAAACTTTATCTAAAGGTGAATAGAAAGTCGAAGTGTGGTTGAAAAATCTACGATAAAAAGTAGCAACCAGACTGCTTCACTATTAATAAGAAATATTCAAAAAATCAATCAAAATGATTTCGAAACTCTTCGGAATCACCGTCATTTCTCGTAATACTATCGAAACAGGAAGATACATCAACGAAATCAAATATATAATCATTTACAAAATAAGTTTCTAAAATCATTATATCAGACAAACACATCCATTATAGATTTATATCCTTTCTGATAACAATTAATTTCATATTATAAAATCTCATATTCTTCTCTAAAATCAGTCAATATGAAATATTTGCTTTTTAATAATTAACTACTTATAAGTTTTTCCAATAAAATAATATATTA